TCCGCTTCTGCATGCAGGTACTGGTGCTCGTGGTAGCCTCCTTCGAGGCAGTACCTTATGCGCGACATCACACCAAGACTCTTCATGGGGGACATCTTGTTGCTGTGGGTAAGTGGCCCTTGTCACTGGACAGGGCAGCGAGGGTGCCCCCTGTTTGGTGGCTGTGGTCCCCGGCTCTGGTGGCAGACAGATCCTTTCTCCCATGCACTGGACGGATGCCAGCCTTCTGGGCTGGGGAGGTGTCTTGGGCTCATGGACGACACAGGGGCATTGGATCATTGGAGGAGTCTCGTCTGTCGATCGATGTGCTGGAGCTTCGGGCGATTTGGTTGTCTCTCCAGCATTGGACGAGTCGTCTTCGGGGCCTGTCGGTCCGCGTTCAGTCAGCCAGGGATCATCTCCTGGACGGAGGAGCATGTTCCGGCTTTTTCCGCAGTATACATTCCGTGGGTGGATGATTGGCGGGCCGACTATCTCGGTCGCCAATCGGTGGATCCGGGGGAATGGTCATTGCATCCGGAGGTGTTTCATCACCTCTGTCTGCGCTGTGGATGTGGACCTCCTGGCATCTCGTCGCACGATTCATAGCCCTGGCTCAGGTTCCTTGGGCGGCAGCGGTGGATGCCCTGGTGGCTCCCTGGGACCTTATGGTCTGATTATGCCTTCCCTCCACTATACCTGTTGCCGCTGCTTCTGTGCCGGATAGTGGCCGAAGGCGTCACCGTCATCCTCATGGCCCCAGATTGGCCTCGGGGGGGGGGGGGGGGGGGCGTGGTAGCTGTCTCTGGGAAAATATTCCTTCGCACGTGAAGGGCCTAATTTGCCTGGTGTGAGGCTGGGGCTCTGTCTCCGCGGTTGTTTTCGATCAGCAGAATTCTTGCGTTTCTGCAGCACGGAGTGGCCTTGAGCACAGTGGAGGGCCGGATTTCTGTATTGACTGCTTTTCCAACAGCCGTTGGCGTCTACCGCCTTAGTTCGCACTTTTATTCAGAGGGTTGCGCGTATTGCTCCTCCTGTCCGCTCGCCTTTTGGCACCGTGGGATCTGAACCTGGTGCTGTCGATGTTGCAGGGATCGCCCTTTGGGCTATCCGGGAGACTCCTTTTCTGTCTTGTCCCTAAAAGTGGCCTTTTTGATTGCCATCACTTCCGTTCAACGGGTGTCTGAGTTGTATGCCTTGTCCTGCAAGTCAACGTTGCTTGTTCTTCGGAAGGACAAGGATGCTCTCCGTCCTCGGCCGGCTTTCCTGCCCGAGGTTGTGTCAGCTTTCCATCTGAATTGTCTTGACTTCCTTGTGTTCGAAACCGGTTCATAGGAAGGAAGGGGCACTGCACTGTTTGGATGTGGTGCGCACTCTCCATGTTTATTTGGAAGCTACAGCTTCTTTCCATGAGTCGGATTCCTTGTTCGTGCTCACAGTGGGCCCCAGTAAGGGCCGGCCGGCCGCTACCATTTTTCGGTAGATTTGTACGCTTGTTGTTCAGGTGTACGCCGTTAAGGGGCGAGAACCCCCTTTCCCTGTCACTGCCCGTTCCACTAGGGCTTCTGGGGCATCCTGGGCTTTTCTTCATGGTGCCTCTGTTTTTCGGGTTTGTAAGGCCGCTGTTTGGTCGTCTGTTCACACCTTTGTTCAGGTTTACAAGGTGGATGTTTTGGCATCGGCGGATGCTGGTTTGGGGCGCAAGGTGTTGCAGGCGGCTCTTGGGGGGTCTTTTGGGAATTTTGGTTGTTTTTGCCCATCCCTCAGTGTGTTACTGCTTGGTGACATCCCTACCATACAGGATCTACGATCTGTTGCCCTGTGTCCTTCAATGAACGGGAGAGAAAATAGGATTTTTGTACTCACCGTAAAATCCTTTTCTCTCCGTTCATCGAAGGACACAGGTCCCGCCCTCTTTATTGGGTGTACACTCCTAACTGCTTGTTACTAACTGGAGACTTGTCAGCAGGTGGGGGGTTGGGCCACCAGCAGGGGCCGCCCCTAGGCTGTCTTTGTCCTTTTATGTGCCTAGCGTCCTTCTCCTGCAGGTGGCGATATACCCTACCATACAGGATCTATGATCTGTTGCCCTGTGTCCTTCAATTAACGGAGAGAAAGGATTGTACGGTGAGTACAAAAATCCTATTTTTAGGAAAGAGCAAGCAATTTAAATTTTTAAAGTTATGCTATGTAAATGAGAACAAGTAGCAAATATAAAACAGGTGTTAACCCAATTTTGGCTGCAAAAGTGGAATTACACTTTAAGGTTCATGGAAGTGTAGCCAACCTCCCACAAGAGGAAACTTGACCCCAAATTGAACAGAAACCTAGCGCGAATAGTAGATAAAGAGCCAAGGAAAACTTCGAAAGAGATGCAATCTGAACTCCACGGTCAAAGTACGTTGATGGCTGATTGTACCAGATGCTTATTTTTAAACAGTGGCTCAAAGGAAGACTTCACTGTTGAACCAAAAACATATTTATAAGCAACAATGCTTTTTGGGAGAATGCATTTGCCTTTGTACAGGACATTCTCTTTGAGACAAAACCAGTTCATTTCATTGACTTTATATGGTAAAGCGCTGCACAAACTGTTGGCACTTTATAAATCCTGTATAATAATGATTATTTTTGTCATAGTTTTCGTCAACAACGCTTTTCAGTGACTAAAAGTAGACTAAAACTAAGTTATGATTACTAAAACTATAACGAAAATATATTGAAATTTTAATCAACTAACTAAAACGTTAGGGGGAGAGAATTTGGGGAGAGATCCAATCAGCACTAATCTCTTTGGACTTCCGGTTCCATCCTGAATAGACGGCTAATAGGTAATATGTGCAATGACATTACAGCCAATCTAGTTTTTCACTTCTGGAGCGAATTAAGAACGTCTAATGCAAGTTGTTCTAATCAATGCATATCTAATTACTGGTTTGTTAAAAATACTCAGATGTGTAAAATATGACTAACTTGAAATTTGCTGTCAACATTAACACTGGACAACACTGGCAAGTGATATCAGCTCTATGTTTACAGATGGAAAAAAATGAAGCATTCAAAGTAAAAAACACAGTAGCTACTGTGAAACATGGATGAGGCTTGGTTAGATTTTGGGGCTGCATTTGGCACGAGGTGCCACAATGAAATTTTAAGTGTTCATTTGTTCATGAATGTATCTTTCTCTTCCACTAATTGAAGGGCACAGTAGAGATCTAGAGTGTTGGTTTATAGCACACCAGCAGCTATGAACCATGTTATTAATGGGTGGACACCAGGGGCCACGCTGTGATTGGGTGGGCCAGCTGATGAGTAATGCCTGGTGCTCTACCACAGACACTAAAGGTGCCCATACACTGTGCGATTATCGCACGATAAACGCGGGAAATCCCGCAATCGTACTGAAATGGATCAGAACCACAACTTGGTTTACACAAGATATCTGCTGCTGTTCCTAATTATGTCGTGTTCGGTGCACCGGAAAAATCACAAACACAGGGTTAAGGGTCTATGACGGTTCTACTTTATTTAGGGCAGGAGAGTGTTCGTCACACATATGCCCACATCTGTTATCTCTAAATGTCTTGTACTATTGGGTAAACTAGAGGAGCTGTTAAAGTCTTGTGTCTCTCGCTAATTGGTTAGTCAAAGATATCTTCTGCCTGTAGCATCCTCCCTCGGCATTCTTTTCATGCATCCTCAGCGCACTTCCGGATACAGGATATATCTTGGTTACGCATAGCAACGCTAAAGCTGAGTAAGGAAAGTCACAAAGCTAGGAAGCAAATTCAAACATAGAAAAGGACATTTTCTTGATATGATCCATATTCTTTCACAGTACGATAATCGCAAAGTGTATGGAAGGCGTGTGACCGTTTTTACTGTACGGTCGCACGTCTTTTGTCTTAGGAGCATGCTAGAAAACCAGCCGAGAATCGTACGATTTTCGGCTGGTTTTTAGCATGATTGTAAGATCAATGCCGCAGCGGGCGGGCTTGCGATGATCGCAAGTACGATCTGCCTGTCCAAGATGGGCAGATCGTACGGTTTTTTAAAATTGCTTTACAACCATCGCAAGACTAAGTGTATGGCCACCTTTAGGCACAGGGTGGCCTTTTCTACTTGCACAGGGAGGACTAATGATCCTCAGCTTCTTTGGCACAGCTGGCAGTTTTGGGGTGTGGTGAGTCTTTGAAACTACGAGTCCAACCAGCACCATCTGTTTTTACTCTCCAGTTGCTTGTTCCAAGAGATCAAGTTTCTGCAAGCAAGATAAAAAAATATTTACCTGGCTGGAGAAGTTCTTTAGGAAAACTTTTTTTTAAGACAAGTTTTAATTAAAAATTGTGTTAATGGATGGTAGATTAATTTGCACCCAGACATGGTGTTCCCCCATTGGGGAAAAAAAAAAAAAATCAGTTCCCAGACTTCAGTTTACCTTTTCCCACCTTTGTGCCAGAGCCTGCCATGTTCTGTTACACACTTTACACATTCAAATTCCATATAGCTGAAACTCCCACACATTAAACAGATTTAATAGAAAAGTTTTATTGTTAGCAGGGAACATTCATGAGGTTTTATGTTTATATAATGGTCTTGCTGTCCAAGGTGACTTAAACTGAGTAGAAGGTTGCATGTCCTGTTATGTTGTCGAAGAGGTATTTCAGTGTTAGGAGTGCTGTACAAACATGGCTTGTGCTTCAAAGGTATTTTGTTCACTGCACACTCTTTTGTGCGCAATAGGAAATACAGCTCTTTTCCATTCTCTACTGGGATGATTACATAATATGGAATGTTATGAATTTGGCAACAGTCCAGGCACCCAAAAGGTTATGACATAGAGCTTGAATTATGGAAAGAGAATGCTTCTCCCAAGCACAGTATTAAAGGCAGTGGATGGGGGACTTTATAAAATAAGCTTTGACTAGTGAATCTATTAGAGTCCTGAAATAAGAGCACTTATTTCTTTACATGAAAAAAAAAATCTCAAATAATTAGGATTTCAGGAATGCACATTTGTTTACTAATCCACTTGAGTCTACCAAACCTTTTCACTGTCCGTTACAGAACATGAATAATGTAGAAGATCCACTGTCCGTCTCTTCTCTATAAATTGAGAAAAACCATATGGTCCTGGAACAGAGCAATGCACAGCATAATGCCACATCCCACCAGGAAACCAGCACTCTGGAGGATGCAGTCCATTCCTTGGCAGCGGTCAGAGCTCTCACGGTGCAACATTTGGGGCAGCTAAATAAAAGTTGACATTATATAGTTACTTTATGGTTTTCTTTAGTGGCTACTAACAAATGCACAAAACAAAATAACACATCTTACAAGAAAAGTTATTAAAGCAACAGACTAGCATTGCTTATTAGTACCCTTTCCTATCAAAAGCAAACTGGTAGTTTAATCGGCTTCCACTAAAAAAGCTGGGCATGTGTGCTTGCCTAATAAAGATGTAAGGTCTGACACACAGATTAATGTGAATTGCTTTACATACTCTGTAAAGTAGAATGTCTCTACATTTTATTCTGCCACATCCAGAAAAAATGGAGAGAAAAACCCTTTCAGTTATTGGGCTCAAACATGCACTAAAAAACATAAGGCCCTGACAAAATTGATAGACATGTTCTCAATATGTTTAAGGACATCCTTCCTAACTGGCAATCATTTCAGATAGAAATTATATCACTTGCCTCATAGACAGATGTAAGAGATAAAAAAGGATGGGGCACATATAAGCCTAACAAAAACTTCTACAAATACTGACATGAAACCAATAAATAATACACCGTTTCTACAAATGCCACCATCCAGAAAAATTCAGAAAAACCCTTTCAGTTATTGGGCTCAGACATGCACTAAAAGAAAAAAAATAATAATGGCCTGACAAAGTTAATAGACATGTTCCCAATACGTTCAATGACATCCTTCATAACAGGCAATCATTTCAGATAGAAATTATATCACTTGCCTCATAGACAGATGTAAGAGATAAAAAAAAAAAGGATAGGGCACATATAAGCCTAACAAAAACCTTTATAAATACTAACATGAAACCAAAATAACATACCATATCTACAAGTGCCACGTATAGAAATATCCCAGCAGTCGCAGCAAACATCCACGGAGTGACTTGAGCAGAGCTCCTACTCGTTACAACTCCAACCAACATTCCCAGATATGCGAGTAATGCGGAAATCAGACTGAAGCAAAGGACCCTCTTTACTGGAACACCAGCCTGCAGCAAGACAGCAAAATCACCTAAAAAAGAAAAATTAGTCAACTTTCTTTGTAGTAAGTAAATGTTACATGTGGATGTTTTTATATATACACAAATGCATTAAAGTACTTATTTGCCAGAATCTTTCTGATATCTCATTGTACTTGTTTGGCAGAAAGTTCGAAGGTTCCAATGAACAACATATGCTAAATACACAAGTAGGTGAAATGTTATACATGTGATCCTCCCAATTCTGCTGTGCTATATGGTAGAAAGGTGCCCATACACTCTTCGACTTTCGTTCGGAAATCTTCCACGAATGGTCTTTCGAACAATAATCGAACAGTTGATGGGACACCAACGGGTTTTTTTTTCCATTGTAATCCCGCTCGAATTTTCTCGAATGGTGAGGCTGGAAAACTTTTTTAGAATCGAACTAAAATTGATGAATTAGCGGCGTTTTCGTTGGAAAAAAATTGCCGCAAGAACACTGCACATGTGCAAACAAAAATCTGTTCTGTCGATCGACAAACTTTGGTGAGTTGGTATTGTTAACAAACAATTTTTCTAAATCTGTGCACGATGGACAATTTGAGTTGGAATCGAACGTGGGTTTTTGGCAGCAACGAAAATTTCCGATTGAAAATCTATAGGTGTATGGTCAGCTTAAGGGGGGTGGCTGCACCTTTTCGAGGCTGCAGGCCTGCAGACTCTGTGACATTGCCCTGCCATCTGCCTTCTTTGGACAACTAGTGAATGACACCATTATAGTGACATTCAGCTTGACCCATAATTGTACTTAAAGTTAAAATAATTGTACTTGTATTTCCACTTCTGCAGTCAAATACCACCATATGTTTTTTTATGTGTCCTCATTCACACAGCATACCTAAAATTGCATTTACATAAAATATATTACTGTATTTAACCCTTTGTTATACTTTGTTCACTTTTCAAGGGAATTTGTATTTTGCAGAGTAATTTTCTTCTAGCTTAGTGAATGTGGTGAAAATTTACTTTGTATACAATACCCAATCACGAGCAAGAACATGAAATATATATATATATATATATATATATTTGCCATAATTGGATGATAGACGTCAGCAGAGCTTCACCTCATCCACTAGGCTAAGAGAAAATTCCCTTCCAAAGTGAACAGCCTATTTACCTTTAGTAAATCATCTCCTATGGGATTGCGAGTTCTGACCAGTTCTGCACATTATTGTTGTCTTATCGCTCAATAGTTTCTGAGTCAATGTCCAGCAACAAGCATGCAGCAAGTGATTAGAGCTCCTGATATATCCACTTGTTCCAGGTCATAGACAGACAATACTGAAGCATTTGGGTCACTATGATAGCCAGACAACAATCATCATAGAAGAGATTAGTAATGACAGCTTATATTTTTTTTTCTCAATGCAAGTTTACCTCCTTCACTGCCACCAACATAAGGGATATGGAGGAACAGAATTACTTCCAGCTGGGCAGGTCAGCCCCACATCGCCTTCCCATTGGGTGCCAGCAAACAACTCTATTCTGTGTCCCCTACACAGTTCACTGTCACCACTGTGCTCTCCATTCCACCACATGGCATGAATGGCCATGTGTACAATCGCTTTGTTTGTGAATAAACATGAAGCACTTTGTACAGAGCACTTTCTGTTCAGTGTTAGTGAATGCAGCTACACCAGTGGAAACTGAGGACTCTGTTTAGACCCGTGATATTTCATTAAAGCCTTCAGTAGTAAAATAATAATAATAATCATTAAAAAAAAAGGTTAATTAAATCTGTAAAAAATAATTTAAGAAAAGGATATAATTCCCCCTTTACATCTGACTTGATTCTCACTGCGCTTGCTGCAATTTTTTTCCCTCTTATTTCATTCTCTGACAAACTGGATTAAAAGCGTTCTACACATTCAGTTACATAAACATTAATCTTATTCTATATATTTGCCATAAGTTATTGTTGACTAGATAACTTATTAAGTAGCTAGAGAAAGACGACTTTAATCAATAGTCATTTCCACGTCCCGGCCCCCACCATTAGTACCAGGGGATGCAATAACTTTAGTGACAGCATTTAGACCTACAATTTGTAAAAATTACATACAACACAAACAGAAGTCTGTGTACATGAACCTTGTAGCAATACAATGTGTAGACAGAATGAAAGTCACAGTCCAAGAGCAAACATATGAGTTAAAGTGTATAGAGTGATCATTTTCCATTGTGAACATTATGGAAAGTGTTAAAAGTGAACCAAAGCCAACTCCAAACACTAAAATGTGGTTACTCTTACTATGGAAGAAACATAAATAAAGTACTTGGCCTTACTTATGCAGCATGGACTGAACAGTGTATGACATGCCCCAGTGTAAGAAGCAGAAAGTAACAGCATAGAAAATAGGATTGTATGATGCAGATAGCTATATATGTATGTGACTTAGGAGTAGGTGAGTGGTCAAACTTAATTATCCTGCACATTGGTTGGCAAAAGGTCACATTCATCTCACTGTACCATCAACTTAGTTGTGTCTGGAACAACATTGCCAGGAAGACATGGTTTCAAGTGATAAGACCAACTAACAACTACCACTGGCAAATTGAAGGAATGGACTGGTGGTGGCAGATTATCATGAATAGGGAAGAATCACTCCTTAGACCTTTGTCAGCTTACCATATACTGTAGCTCCTTCACTTACATTCTGTCTGCACCACCCCAGCATACACATTGTATGTATGGTAAGGTCCTACCTTTACCAGCCCAGGCAATGTACCTGAATAACTCCTCTTCATATCAGCCCTACAGTTAATCCAAAATACAAAATATTTTTCACTTACCAAGCTCATGGGGAAGTTCATGACAAAATACTGCAATGGTTGTGCTTAGCCCTCCAGATATACCAGCAGAAAAGGCTGCGCCTACAGAGAATTGTATGTATTAGATGTGTTTTGACATCTGCATTTCACAGGAAAGAGTCACAGTTGTTGACCAAAACCTGTGATTTTTTTTTGGAATAAAAGTATTTGTAAACCCAATTACTGAATTTTCTTGTAAGCTTTAACATGTCCTTATTATTTCAAAAATAATTTTTGATTTTTGTTTTTTAAATCTTCAGCTTTCGTTAAAATAATACCCTCTGACCCTGCCATGAAGGTTCATGTTGATGTAGTTTCTGTTTAAGGTGTCAAATGTTCTGTCCCTGTCACACCGTCTTCTGATCAACAAATTGCCATTTCAACACACATTACACAGGTATAGGTCCACTGTTGTAAACATCAGGAAATATGCCCTGAAAAATACCATGCAGCCCTCTCTGCAGTGGTATTTTGTGTCTGCAAAGGGGCTAAAGGAGATCAGGAGCACTGGGGTGCAAAAGACAATGGAAAATAAAAGCAAAAATGGGTATTTTGTTATTAGAAAAATTGCAATTTTTAATATTTGAAAAACTTAAGCAAAATAAATATTCACTTAGCATTCACATAAAATAACAGAGGAAAGGAGAGTACTAGCATGGAAGAGAAAAAGCTCCTTCCTTTAAGTATCAATGGGATTCAACCTTTGCTAGCCACAGTTCTTATTTCCCAGACTATGACTTTTTGGTGTAGATTAGGCCTCTTCTGGGTTGATCCTTATTTTGTTGACTTTGTTGATCAAATGGCCATGCATGCCATTGTATATGTGACACGGTACTTGATGCTTGTTGTCTATTGTCTTGGGTTTCCCTTCCTTCAATTCAAATTTGCAGAGTAATCTGGCTTAAAGAAGAACTCCAGGCAAGGGGGCTACCCTACACGACAAGTTGGTCTCCACAGGTTACGGGATAAAATTTGTCCTCCACCTTGATTGTTTGCTTTGCAGCTTACAATGTCTCGGCAACATTTCCCTAACAGGGAAATTCCCCTGACTTTGTTGAGATTTCTTCTCCCTCCCTGTTGTACCTTTGGGATAGAAAGGAAATCTCCCCAAAAGGACATAGGCAGCAAAAATAAACTCACGGGGGTTTTACTCTTCTCCATTCTATCCAAAACATTATTTTAAATGGCTTTTTACATCTTTACCTACACTGTGATCTAATCAATGGAATAGAAGACTAGACTGTGAACTTAATTTAAAAATCGCAGTGTCTGAGACTTCCATATTGCATCACTCCATCTGAAAGAAACCTAATTTAATCATAAATGCCAGGCAGAAGGATTAGAAGATTTCTGAGTTTGTATCAGCTCACCTATAGCCAAGCCATCTGTGAAGTTATGTATTCCATCTCCGAGAAGAACCATCCATACAAACTCTGCAATGCCTCCACTGGCAGCACTGTGTGAGTGTCCGGCGTGACAATGGCGGCTGCTTCCTGTTTCATCCAACTGAATGTCATGTCTTTGCTGACAATCAGCCTGTGCTCCAGAAGCCTCACAAAACTCAGGGTCTTAGGGAGAGAAAACACATTTGTATGCGTTAAATTCTAAAACTACCTTAAGGAAGATTTAAAAATGATGGCTGCTATTTTAGAATGAACCTAGAGTATATACCAGGGGTAGGCAAACTCCGGTCCTCCAGCTGTGGTGGAACTACAAATCCCGTTAGGCACTGCAAGACTCTGACAGCCACAGTCATGACTCGCAGAGGAAGATGCAGGGCCGGTGCTAGGATCCTTGCCTACACAGGCAAGGTGCATTTTTGCACACAGGCGACTGCCTGAGGTGCCGCGCGTGTCGGGATCCTCTGGCAGTCGCCGGCCAGCTAAATTAGGACCCCACCTGGAGCTCCTCCCACTGGACCAGCGCTGACTCGCCGCTGCTCTCCCGACCGAAGGTAAGTGAAAAAAAAAACATAGCGCAAACATCGGGGCATTTTGACAAGTACTTGTAAAAATGCCCTGTTTTTTCCGCCCTCACCCTGCAGCGCCGTAAGGCGGCCGCCTGACTTGCCTTGTGGTAGCGCCAGGCCTGGGAAGATGCATGATGGGATTTGGAGGGCCAAAGTTTGCCTACCCCTGCTATACAGATGTTCCTCACTTACCGACTTACCTGTTTTGCGACCACTCGCACTTACGACGGACCGCCGATCGACCTCCGACCTCGCGCGTCAGTGCGACGGGTCGCCGGCGGAAGTGACATCCCCCGATCTTCACTGCAGGTCTCGGTAAGTATTTCCATTGCCGGATGTACAGTACACTGTTCGGTACTTTACATCGGCAACGCTATACAGTACTGTCCTAATGCAGTACAGTACTGTATAGTGTTCCTCACTTAACGACCAATCCGTTTAACGACCTGGTCGTAGGAACGGAACTCGGTCGTTAAGTGAGGAATACCTGTACACAATCAGCTATCCACCTAGACTTGCTTAATAATTAAAAAGGGCAATGACTATGTGCAAAAACTCAAAGCAACTAATCAGCTTCTTCTTATAATCATATCTGGCTGCAATGAATGTTTGCCCAGAATAATTGCACTTTGCCCTCACAATAATAACATTGGTGAGCAGAGACCAATATATCTTCAGTATTGTGTCTTTATGGATTGCAATGATGAAACTACTCTGAATATCACTGCATGTAGCCAACATTACTTTATAATACTAATTCAATGACATTAATTTACCTGCACATTCACCACAATGAAAATTTTATTTGGATATCTCGCTAGAAAGAACATGTGTATACCTTAAATTCTAAAACTACCTTAAAGAAGGTTTAAAAATGATGGCTGCTGTTTCAGAATTAACCTACAGTATATACCAGGGGTACAAATCCCATGAGGCATTGCAAGACTGTGACAGCCACAGTCATGACTTCCAGTGGAAGATGCATGTCCGCTTAACATCCTTCTTAGCAGAGGCACTGTGTTTGTCAGTTCAAATAGGAAGTTAAAAACATTTTTCTGAAGCAAAAGATCCACTTGATGTAAATAAGCCTATCAAGGTGCTTTCATTTTTTAAAAACCTTGTTTTTTTATAGAAAGTTACAAATTAGATGCGTACAGAAGGCAGCCATATGTTCTCATTACAGCTGCTGCCTAACTTCCACTTCGATCTGGTAGCTGAGACAAAGGTGAGAGGCAATTATGTGAATGGGGCTGCAAGGGGGACCAGAAAATATATAGATCGTTTATAACTGTAAGCCCCCTCAATATACATAATTACATAGTTACATAGTATTTGGGGTTGAATAAAGACATATGTCCATCAAGTCCAACCCATATAGGTCCACGCATCATCTCATTCTTAGTGATACTGGTATCCCTGGATATTACGGTCCCTCAAGAAATTGTCCAAACGTTTCTTGAACAAATCTACACTCTTGGCTGAAATCACTGCCGATGGCAGTGAGTTCTAGACCTTAACCGCTCTTACTGTAAAGAACCCTCTTCGCTCATTGTGCTGGAATTTTTTTCTCCACCAACTTTAGGTGGTGGCCTCTAGTCTTTGTAATGGAGTTAATCTCAAACAGTTTGTTGCCAATGTTGCTGCCAATGTTCCCACAAAAAAAAAAAAATACACTGTTTGCCCCCTTTAAATCCACATAATCCAAAGCAAGTCTACTGTTATCTGGTATGCGTGGAAGTGTATTACTTACCAACAGGGTGTCCAAGCTCCCATAACACAGTGGTGCATCCTTCATCTTGAGCAGGCTTTTTAACACGGGGACGTTTCTAGTGATGGAAAGGGCACTTAAATGTAAATAAATTAATAACTTGCTTACTTCAATAGGAATTCCAGCTTATCACAGGTTGTTTCAAACAATACAAATAAATAAAATGACCAGAATGGAAATATATAAAGTTGCCATTTATAACAAGCTTACTAAGGTTCATGAGTTGTCATCCTGGTCCTTTCCTTGGAACAAGCATCAAGCCAGTGAAGTGGTGGACAACTAATACACATATCCTTGTTCCAGTATGGTGACTTAGCAAATAATGATGCAGGTAAGGGAAAATTTGACTGGTCGTTTAGAAAGACTGAGGCAGTTCTTCCCACTGACATTGATAAATGAGGCCAACTGTGAGAGAATCGTTTTCACTGTGAAATATACAGAATAGTGTAAAGACATTTCAGGAGATGGGGTGGCCTGAGGGTCTGTGCATTTAGTTCCTAATACCAACGCTCCTAAATCTACGGCTTGTTTGAGTAACATCTAAAACCGTTATAACTGTCAATCATTTAGTAACATGGACAGTCACCTTGCGTCTTCTCTGCCTCAAGAGTCCCAGAAGGTTTTCAATGAGGAACAGTACATAGATACCACCAAGCACACTCAACCCTTTTAGTACTGGTTCCATAAGGTGGGAGTCATTATGATGACCAGGTTCTGTGTGATCTTCCTGAGACTACAGAAGTAAGAAAAAAAAATAGTTATTTCAAAATATAAGCAAAACGCTAAAGTTAATTTAGAGCACACATTCTACTAACAAACGTACTGCAAAAACACAGGAATGCCGTTGATAGATTTGCCTTAATTTCATTTACCTCCCTTGTCCTCTACTCTCTTCCTCCACCCACCTCCCTTGCCCTCCATTAATCTCCCTCCCTCTCCACCCACCTCCCTCGTCCTCCAATTCCCTTCCTCCTCTTCCACCCACTTCCATCTTCCTCCGCTCCCTCCCTCCCTATTCCCTAACCCATCTCCCTCGACATCCACTCCCCTTCCTACTCCTCCATCCACCTATCTCGTCCTACATTCCCCTTCCTCTCTATCCATCTCGCTTGTCCCCCACTCCCCTCCCTCCTCTTTTATCCATCTCCCTTGACATCCGCTCCCCTTCCTACTCCTCCATTCACCTCCTTCATCCTTTATTCCTGCTCTACCTACCTCCCTTGTCCCCCACTCACCTCCTTCCTTCTTCACCCATTTCCCTCAACATCCACTCCCCTTCCTACTCCTCTATCCACCTCCCTTGTCCAACATTCCCTTTCCTTCTCTACCCGCCTCCCTTGTCCTCCACTAGCTCCCTCATCCATCTCTCTCAAAATCCTCTTCTTTCCCTCCGGTCTCCTCCATCCACCTCCCTCATCCTCCCCACATTACTTTATTAGCAATGGTGCTTGGTAACTGGCCACTCAAGTACCCAGTGCTGGCACATTTTGCCGGAAGAGAGACCTGCTGCTAGAGATGGCAGAATTTACCTGAATCTTTCGCTTTGTCACACATAAAGCTGGACATTATCATATTTCTTTGAATGTAGGCTTCTGAAGGCAACATGTACCTGACTTCTGGAGGTAGTGCCAGTTGGGCAAATGTAATTGTGCCTGATACTACTGGTGCATGCTCTGCCCCACAACTAAAACTGCTGCCAGAAGTCAAGCAAAGACAGCACCCAGTCCTTGGCTCTAACTAGTAATAGCTGTACTGACGTGTTCCCTTTCTCAAATTCTTTTATCAGGTTTGTTCACTACAGAAATGTAACCAGCAATACATAAAAGCAAGTGCATAAACCCATAACAACAATTAATTGGTTCCTAATGGATCTGGATCTTATGGTTTAACACACTTTCCCTATTAGTCTCTGTCTTGCTCGATAATCTGATATGCGGCTATAGTAGAGGTCTGACTACTAATAATTGCATCTACACATAAAGATGTAGCACTATAAAATACTTTGACATACATGGGGCAGGAGGTGTAGTAAAGCATCACCACATAGTGTCCCCACAGCTAAGGCTACCAGGAACCTGAGCAGGTAGCGGAAGAGAGGACGTCTGAGAAGTGGGACAAAAGCTACAGCCAGAAGTGACGGGGCACTGATCACAGTGACAGCAAGTGTCCCCCAGCCCAACACTGGAAAAGAGAAGACATTGTTATCAAAGAGTAGAATAAACAATTATACCATTTATACGGAGTTTACTTTATTGTATACATGATAGAAAATAGTTAAAGTAGTGTTAAACTCTCAAACTTTTTCCCCTAATTAATCCAGATCATCTAATATGAATGAAGCACATTATAAATAAAGAGGCACAAGCCTCTCCTAATCTTTGGGGCTCTGACTGGAGGACCCATTGGCTAAGCTGTCACTGGAATCAATTGCGGGTCCACCCTTTCTGAATGGAACTGGGATCATTCTATTAAGGTCCAAAAATATCTTCTAGTACACCCCAAGTGCCATGCTGTATGTTCCCTATTTCACAACGCCTCATTCTATATGCCATGCTGTACATTCCCTATTCCACACTGCCTAATTCTATATGCCATTCTGTACGTTCCCTATGCCACACAGCCTTCTATATGTGAAGCTGTACGTTTCTTATCACACAATGCCTCATTCTTTATGCTATGCTGTAGATATCCCTATCCCACGCCACCTTATTCTATATGCCATTCTGTACGTTCCCTATGCCACACTGCCTTCTATATGTCAAGCTGTACATTTCTTATTCCACACTAACTCATTCTATATGCTATGCTGTACATTCCCTATTCCACACTGCCTTATTTCATATGCCATGCTGTACATTCCCTATTTCACACCACCTTATTTCATATGCCATGCTGTACATTCCCTATTTCACACCACCTTATTTCATATGCCATGCTGGACATTCCCTATTCCATACCACCTTATTTCATATGCCATGCTGTACATTCCCTATTTCACACCACCTTATTTCATATGCCATGCTGTACATTCCCTATTCCACACCACCTTATTTCATATGCCATGCTGTACATTCCCTATTCCACACCACCTTATTTCATATGCCATGCTGTATATTCCCTAATCCACACCACCTTATTTCATATGCCATGCTGTATATTCCCTATTTCACACCACCTTATTTAATATGCCATGCTGTACATTCCCTATTCCACACCACCTTATTTCATATGCCATGCTGTACATTCCCTAATCCACACCACCTTATTTCATATGCCATGCTGTATATTCCCTATTTCACACCACCTTATTTAATATGCCATGCTGTACATTCCCTATTCCACACTGCCTAATTCTATATGCCACTCTGTACGTTCCCTATGCCACACTGCCTTCTGTATGTCAAGCTGTACATTTCTTATCACACACTACCTAATTCTTTATGCTATGCTGTACATTCCCTATTTCACACCGCCTTATTTCATATGCCATGTTATACATTCCCTATCCGACACTACCTATTTCTATATGCCTAGAGGGTGTGTTTAGGGGCGGAGTTAAGGCCGGGGCAGGGTAGGGGTTAGGTGGCCAACTGGTGGCGAGTAACTCCTAAGGCCTGCTTAGTAGCTCAGGACTTGAAATTTTTACCCCTGCCATACTGTATGTTTCCTATTCCACACTACCTTATTCTATATGCCATGCTGTGCATTCGGTTTACAATTACTTTACCTTTGTCTATTTTTAACACATCTTTTAGGAAGTATATATTTAACATGTACAAATACAACAGACCAAGGTGGCTAATACACACTGCTTTAATGGTGAAGTCAATGGCTATGCATGATGGGTTTTCCATTTTTATTTCAAAAGTTTTTATTGTTTTCGTCAAAGTATTCAAATAACACAATGCAACATTACACCTTAAGATAAGACAACAATCAAAAACAAAAACAAAAAACCTCAAAAAACAAAAGATTAAAACGAAAGTTTTAATATTCAAGATAAGCAATTGGATTGAATTTGGTCGGGATGGAGTAAGGTCTATAATCCACCTATTTTTCTCACATTATTGTAGGGCTTATATATGCCAGCCAGGGTCCCCAGGTGTGTTCAAATTGCACAGCTTTGTCCATAAGAATACTCGCTAATTTTTCATGAGTCATGATCCAGGACAGTTTAATCTTTACATGCCTCAATGACACCCTAGGTGTTTTCCAGGCCTTAGCAATGGTGATTTTAGCTGACAGGAAAATAAAAGTTATCAGTCGCGAGCAATGCTTTGAGATTCCAGGAACGGTTTAGTTGAGAAGGGCATATTTGGGGTCCCTAGGTACCTGCACTCCCGTGACCCTAGCTATTAAGTTAAAAACCTTTCCCCCGAATCCCCGAACACGGGGGCACGACCACCACACATGATGCATGGTGCCCCCAAGCTCACATCCCCAAAAGCACAGGGGTGACAGTCCTGGATAAATAAGAGCCAATTTAGAGGGCATCAAGTACCACCTAGAGAAGACTTTGAAATTAGCCTCCATTAATGAGACATTAAGAATACCCCGAGTTGTCACCCTAGTGCGACGCTTCCATATCTCTTCAGGAGCGACCATGTTTAGGTCCTGCTCCCAAGACAACATATATGGCTGTTTAGGGGGAGACTCTGACAGAATAGAGTAGAGCAGAGAGATTGCCCCTCTCTGGTTATTGGGCTGAAGAAACCAGCATTTGTAAGGGGTGAGACTGCTGCCAGAGTCGCTTTGTGCTAGTATAGTACGCAGATAATGAGAGATTTGGCAATAGCGAAACAACTCTGACAGAGGCATGCTTAAGTACTCTCTGCAGTACTCTAGAGTCAGGGGCTTCCCCCTCTTATAAATATTGGCCAATTCTGTATAAACCCTTGTCCAGCCACCACTGAAATAGTTTGGGGTGCATACCAGGCTTAAATTTCTGATTCTGATATAGGGGGGAAAGGGGGGTATGAGGTGAACTGATGTTTCCATGAGTTTTTACCCTATCCCAAAGGGCCAAAGAGTTGGAAAGAGTGGGGGCCATAATAGGTGGTCGTGATCTTAAAGGCATCCACTTTAATAGATCTAAAAGGTAGATCTCTAGCTGCCTTGGCCTCCATAAGGACCCAAGCTGGGGGTTCCTCCGCTATGTATACCACAGATAACTGAGCAATGCGTGCAGCACGATAGTACTGGTGTATATTTGGTACTCCCATCCCTCCCGACTCTCTAGTGCTGTAAAGCGTAGACCTAGGTAAACGATAACCTTTATCTCCCCACATAAATTTCACTAGTCTAGATTGAAATGCAGTTAATTCTGATCTAGGGACCGGAATGAGATATTGAGTCGAAGGCCTTTTGTAAATCAATTGATAACAACAAGCCTGTGGCGTCTGACTTCCCACCCCATCCAGACTTTAACAAAGATATTATATCGATTGCTCTATGAATTTGATCTGGCCCCTGTCTCCCTCTAATGAACCCTACTTGGTCTTTGTGTATATAGGTAGCCAAAAACTAGTTAATTCTATTAGCTAAAACTTTCGTAAGCAATTTCAAGTCGTTATTTATCAAGGATATAGGTCTATAATTGGCTACTTCTCCTGGATCCTTATTAGGTTTAGGAATTAAACTTAAAAACGCCTCATTAATTTGCGGACTCAGGGGGTCGCCTTTACCAATAGCTGTAAACAGAGATTCAAGATGGGGTAAAAGTATCTCTTCGAATTTCTTATAGTAACCAGCTGAAAAGCCATCTGGCCCAGGAGCAGAAGATGTTTTTGTCTGTTTGATGGCTTGTTTAATTTCAGATTGAGTGACTGGTTCTTCCAGTAAGGCTATAAGTTCAGGATCTAAACTAGGGAGTGTCACAGATCTTAAAAATTGCTGTATTATGGGTTTTCCATTTTTGTTGTGTAAAAGTCAAAATACCCCGACAGTTCCATAACATTTTTCCAAGGATCATGATAGGATTTTCAAAGCGCCATCAGCTTTAGACTAGTGCTCTTGAGAGTAATGTGAGAAATTGAAATAGTTATATAGGAAGAAAAGAATTTACTACATACCGCACCTTTTAGCAGGGACTGCTGGGAATGTGTTTCTTCATGGATCAGCTGATCGCTGTGTTTAATGCACACACGGCTGTCAATCTGATAAAGAAGTGCTGGGCACAGCAGGGCGAACTGCTGAGGTGTGATTTCCGACACCCAGCCAAGCCCAAAGTTTAGCAGCAGCTGTGTTACATTCAAACACTGTAGAGGAGAAAAACACACCAACTAATTACCACAATATGGAGAGAAACAATTGTTTCTGCACACATTTTTTTAACATTTAAGAAACCCTTTGTCACCATCACGTACCTATCAAATACCAACAGCACAAACCTATTTCCTTATGCATGAAATCTATATGTATAGGGTAGTATGGACAGTATGTGGAATGATTTTCTAGACTGGCAAATGTCTTTTCAATGCCCAGTTGACATTTCCTATCCTTTCATAGCTCTATAGTGCTGCATGATTTGATTTGTGACTGACTTGTGTTTGGAAATGCTTTTAAACACCTTTTTGCTGTTCCTGATATTCTCTTCAGTGGTCTTTGTTGGCAGAGCTGAATAACAGCCACACCCCTCAGCACTGAATATGAGTACCATTACTTTTTCTCAAGTACTCACCGATACCAATTACCGATACCTTTTTTTTTCTTTTTTTTTTAGTGTTGTGATAGTTTTTCAAAAATAATGATTTTAGGACAGTGGTGAAGTGCCAGGGCCAGGTCACAGCTTCAAACTCTGCAATCGTGGTAGTTCTGCCACTGACTCCAAGCTTTAGAGAGACTACAAATCCCAGCAATACATTATACAGCAATGCAGAATAATACCATCAGCTATAGAGGGCTACAAATCCCAGTGATACATTATACAGCAATGCCGAGGGGCAGCTAGCTATAAGGGACCACAAACCCCAGCAATACATTATACAGCAATTTAGAATAATATGAAGCTACATACTCTGTGCTGCTCCGGGGTGCCGGCCTGGTGTCTCCAGCGGAGTATCTCAAGAGGGCTGTGCAGGGTCTCAGGTGGGCTGTGCGGGGTCTCAGGAGGATGTGTGGAGTCTTAGGGGGGCTGTGCGGTGTCTCACCAGGGTTGTGCATGCAGCGGGGTTTCACCAGGCAGGAGGAAGAGATGTGTGGTCCGGCGCTGTAAACATGTGGCGTGTGGTTTACAGAAAGACTGCCACAGGCAGCCGCTTCAGAACTAAAATAAAAATTTAGAGTACTCATGAAAATGCCCAGTATCAGCACTGATACCGATATAGCGATATAAATGCTAATGCAATGGAGTCTAAAGCTGCCCATACAATTTAATTGGAATTTTTTTTTGTCTTTGGAATGTTCATTGGTTTATTTTTCTAATGGTTAAGTAAAGAAGAAGAAGAAGAATAGAGGGCGGGCACCACGGAATCGAAGTAACACCGAGTCGGCCTAGGATGACATTTTTTTCTTAATTCTTATTACAATGAATGAGGATATGGTTCCCAGCTGGGGAATTACTGTACTTGTAATGCAAATGTGCTTAGGAAACTTTAATGCAGAAGTAGAACTTTCCTTATCATGAATATTGTATTATTGGAATATATGAAATATTATTATTATTATTACAGGTATTTATATAGCGCCAACAATTTACACAGCACTTTACATAGTTGCACATTCACATCAGTCCCTACCCTCAAGGAGCTTACAATCTATGGTCCCTATGCATACGGACATTTGTTTTTCTTTTTTTTAGAGAGGAGCCAATTAACCTTCCAGCATATCTTTGGAGTGTGGGAGGAAACCGGAGTACCCGGAGAAAACATGCAAACTCCTTGCAGAGAGTAACCTGGCCGGAATTCGAACCAGAGACCGCCAGTGCTGCAAGGCAGAAGCGCTGACCACTACGCCACTGTGCTACCCAGCTCAATGCAAATAAAGTTTTGTGTGTAGTGTATGTTGGATGGTATTCAAGTGGATTGATAACACAACTATCTCTCCTTCCCCCATGTGAAGGTGCTAGGTGTCATCCTTGACTCGGACATCACCTTTCTGCCCCACATCCAATCACTATCCAAATCTTGTTGCCTTTGTAACATCTCCAAAATACGCCTCTACCTAACCAATTAAACCTTAAAACTAATTATCAACTTGTTATCTCTCGTCTCGACTATTCCAACTCCCTCCTCATTGGCTTACCTCTACACAGGCTATCCCCCCTTCAGTCTATCATGAATGCTGCTGCTGGACTCATCCACCTAACCAACCGCTCAGTATCTGCAACCCCCTTCTGCCAATCCCTCCACTGGCTTCCACTCGCCCAGAGGATAAAATTCAAACTATAAACAACCACATACAAAGCCATCCACAACTCTGCCCCCTGCTATATCTCCAACCTTATCTCAAAGTATCACCCTAACCGTCCCCTCCACACCTCCCAAGATCTCCTGCTCTAGAGCTCCCTCGTCAACTCCTCCCATGCTCACCTCTAGGACTTCTCTAGAGTCTCCCCCATTCTCTGGAACTCCTTAACCCGACCTGTCTATCTCCTACTCTGACTGCCTTTAGGTGATCCCCAAAGACTCATCTCTTCAGGGAAATCTTTCCCACCTCTTCCTAACCACTGAACTATCACTTTCTCAAACAAATTATCCCCACTCAGCTACCACCTCTTGTATCACTTGCCCCTCCCTTTTAGCTTGTAAGCTCTCACAGGCAGGGCCCTCCATCTTGCCTTGATTTGTATTGTAACTGTAATGTCTTTCTTATATTGTAAAGCGCTGTGCAAACTGGCGCTATAAAAATCCTGTAATATAATAATAATAATAGTTCACTAAATCTAGAATTTCCAGTATCTACTCATGGGATGGTGCCTATGTGAGATAATGTAACATGGATATACACTTTACATTATTCTAGAGGATTTTGCATCACATCACTTCCATGTATCCTGAAATCAAGGCATTGGCCTAACAATCAAATTAAATATCATATGAAATTTCTCGAACCCATGACGGTACCAATGAATGCTTTAAAGAATGAGTTTTCTGAATTTCCATATGGTCAAACAAAATTCTACTGGGGTACGGTTTTTCTTTGGTGCACTACACAGTCATATAGCTCAACTCATACATCTGGAAAGTGGATACAGCACAATGTATATTAGACTGTATATTTATTTCTGTGACTTTGATTAGGCTTTTAGGTGTAAGCAGCTTTAAAAGCAAAAGGCCCATTAGCTGCCATTTTCTGAATTACAGAATTTCATCGGCTAGAAAAAAAGCCATCAATTCAAGGTAACATAAAAGGTTATCAGACACAAAGAGCAACACAATGGGCAATATGCAACCCATTTTTATGGACCTCACTTGGTAATCCGTAAGCCCGGCTTCATATTTTACATACTGTGCAATGAATATGGATAGCCTGACACAGCTGGATTGCCATTGGAATAAATGACTCTGTAAATGTGAGCAATATCTGTACAATACACCAGATGTTCCGTATGTGCAGTTGGCAGTTTGTAGGATACAGCACCAATCGCATTAGTTACCTGTAATGGTGTGTATCTCGCCTCCTCCAGGCTGCTGCTTTGTGACAAAATCCTCTCTTTATGCCGCTGGATATACTCCAGAGCAACTATTTTCCAGTTCTTTGGGGGTTAACATCAGCGATTATCGCTGCCGCCCATCTGCGCTCTGCCGCCCCGAGGCCGGGCCTCGGTGGCCTTGTGGGAAATCTGGGCCTGGCGATTATCCCTGTGATAGAGTCTGCCTCATTCTGCCCCTTTCTCCATTTACTGTATATAGACTGGGGAGGGGGGGCCCAGCCGTACCAACTTTACTGTATGCCGCGGCGGTCCCTGTAAGAACCACTCACGGACACCAGCGCAATGCAGAATATACCACCAGCTACTGTATAGAGGAATATAACAAATCCCGGCAATAATACATTATAGTATAATGCATTTGCTGGGATTAGTTGTATTTCTCTATAGCTGGTGGTATATTATTTGTGTATCCCTCGGTTGTAAATTCTCAAATCATCTCTGAATTGGTGCTGACACTGTCCTTCCTTCTGGAGGGGGACTACTTTTGTTCCCCATGGTCCCTGTGTGTTGTAAGGTAGTCACCGCTCCAAGCTCCCTCCTGTGATGGACTACAAGCTCAATACAAATTAGTATTCCATCACTGGAGCCCCCCTTTTTGTTAAAATTATTTTTATCCGATCGATTAATCAAAACTTAATAATCGGCTAACTAATCGATTTTAAAAATAATCGTTAGCTGCAGCCCTACTTATTTGTAATTGTGGAACTAGGCCAGAGAAGGGGATTTATCAAAACTGGAGCAGACAAAATCTGGAGCAGCTGTACACGGCAACCAATCAGCTTCACTCGTTCATTTTCAAATCTTAACTGAACAAACTGAAGAGAGAAGCTGATTGGTTGCCATGCACAGCTGCTCCAATTTTTGTCTGTTCCAGTTTTGATAAATTCCCCCAGAGTGTTTTTTGATGGTTCTAGTTTGAAATGTACCTTGATGTCCTTCACTAAGGGCTGTAGTTGGGTAAAGGTCCACCACAGCCTTGGTCCGTGCCTATCCCTGGGTGTGACCATTGCCTAAAATACGTTGCGCTAGAAGGTGTCCTTCGTTCTCATCTCAGAAAGTTGGAAGGTAGGTACATTATGCACAGAGACATGCCTTTTCTGGAACTAACACTGCTTCTCAAGTTGGGCCAATCAGCTGTCCTAACAGGTCCTCTTTAAATCATTTAATATGATTTAGAGGAGCCAGAACAGCATTATAAGATGGTTGTAAAGGGAAATCAACATAAAGCACTATCAAACACAAAAAGCTCCAAAGCAATAAAATATTTTACTGTAGTTCAAAGTCTAAACAAGTAAATAAATCATTGCAAGAAAAGGGGCAGGACTAGAACTTTCCATTCAAAAACGTTGCTTGCATCAGATTCCACAGCTGTTCAATCCACTATTGATTTTGCAATGCTTTCACAATCAGAATATCTGCTATGCTGTTTGATGAAACCTGAACACAGGGAGCCTGTTAACATTGCAATACTGTATACAGTATTACATCATTGTTCTTACTGGTGTTTGTGCTCTATGCCTTTGGTTATACTGCAATTCAGTTCTTACTATATGAATAAAATATAGTTTATTATTGACTGAGATGCCATGTTAGTATGCCTCAAATGCACTTTAACTTGTATTTTGTGCTATAAGCAGCTAGATAAATCAGGGTCATAGTGCTGGGTGGAACCTGAAGGTCCTGATCCATCCTCTGACTGAGGCCATTCCTACAGTATATGTTTATGTGGAGTAATAAAAGCTTAACAAATTGCCCATGGGTTAATAACTACCTTGTGCCGTTTGCAGCACTGGGACTAGAAACAGAATGTATACATTTATCCAGAGTTTTAAACAGAGTAAGGAAGTGTTACAACCTAGGGTTGCCACCTGTCCGGGATTCACCCGGACAGTACGGATTTGAAATCTTGTGCCCGGTTTTCAAGTCAGTGGAAAACCGGACACAAGATGCAGACAGACAGGGGCAACCCTGCTCAGCCCGGTTGTGTTCGGCCATCGGAGAGTTAATAGAACACCGGCTCCGACAGCTGCATTCAGCAGAGAGCACAGAGCGGCCCCGCCCCCGTCACCAGCTGACCACAGACGGAGCTGGGGGGACTGCAGGACACCGTGCTGTCCTGTGAAAGATCACAGAACACGGAGTCCAGGAGAAGGTAAGCTGATGGGGGAGGGGGGAATCACTAGCAGAGTGAGAAGTGACCAGAGCTCTACCACCACCACCACCCTATGCTGGACAAAGGGGGGGGCGGGTGATTCAGAGGAGTCAAACTGAGGACTCATCTGTCATCAGAGGGGTAGGCCAATAGTTATATCCCTCATATATCCCCCTCGCCCCAGCCCATTGCGTTACTGAGCCCCGCGCCCATTGCGTTACTGAGCCCCATGCCCATTGTGCTACTGAGCGCTGCGCCCATTGCGTTACTGAGCCCTGCGTCCATTGCGTTACTGAGCCCTGCACCCATCGTGTAGTTTTTTAGGGACACATAGAGCTTTCTTTTGGTGGTATTATCACCACTGGGTTTTTGTTTTTTTACTATATTAAGGAAAAATTACCAAAAAATAAATAAAAATAAAAACAGTTTCCCCTATATTAAATTATAAAACATTTATTATTACCCAATTTTTTGGTAAAATATAAAAGACGGGGCCACGTCGGGTACAAAGACACCAAATATGTCAAGCCTTAAAATTGTGAGCGTGCGCGAAACCTAGAAAAACTACCATCTAACCGGTGTAAAGAACGGGCGTGTTTTTTCTGCCCGTGAGCATACGCTAAGCTGGAAAAAAATGCCGTCTAATGACGGCAACCCGCCCGTGTGAGTCTGCCGTCCATCCCTTCTTTCACAACGGGCGTACGGCAGGAGAAAAAAGGACTGAAAATTTTGAATTTCTTTTTCCCTATGAAATGTTATGTAACTTTTATTATCACCCCAATTGTTTGGTTAAATATAAAAGACGGGTTCACGTCGTGTAAATAGACACCAAACATGTCAAGCCTTAAAATTGTGCGCGCCTGCAAAATTGCAGAAAACGACCACACCCAAAATTGGCCATAGGTGACGGTCATCAGTTTAGTGTTATCAGTAGTTAATGGCCCTAAAATTATTGCGCTCACTGGGACGTTTGCAGTAATATGTAACATGTGCGGCACGATAGGCGGAATCATCGTTTTTGCACGTAGGCGCACCCGACGCATGTTTGCGTGTGTATGTGGGGGGAGGGTATGTTGGACTTTAAAATGTTGGGTTATTTTTAAAAAAAATTATTTGTGACTTTTTTATGCTTTCATTTTTTTAAAACCTTTTTTTTTTTATACTTAACTTTATTGGCATCATGTGGGGGGGCTGAGAAACACCTATGTGATAGCCAATTCACATGATAGGTCCTCTTTATTGAGACATCAGGGGTCTCTAAGACCCCTAATGTAACCTAGGGAACCCCAGAGAAGCTGAGGAAGCACAGATCTGCTTCAGCAGCTTCTGACCGCAATCTGTAGCGGGAGAGTGACACTGAATGCAGGAAGTGATGTAGCATACATCACTTCCTGCATTCAGGGGCCGAGAAGAGATCAAAGGGTGATCGTGTACTGAGCTCCCTTTGTTCCCAACTGACAGAGTCGCCGTGCCGGTCCCTGCCGCACCAGGCACGCGCACAGTCTTCTGATACCTGCCGGCGGCCATCATGGTGATGGACGCCGGCAGAGAGAGGAGGGGATAATCACCTGGCGGGATAAGGTATGCCGCCAGATCCCCTCCTCTCTCCTGATACTGTCGGCGTTCGGTCCATGACCGAGCACCCGACTTTTCAGAGGGGGATGACACCAAAATGACTGTGAGGCCACTGCACACACCTGCACCTAATACAAGCCATTGGGCGTCTCTAGAGACGCTCGATCGCTTCAATGTAAACAGAAATCACTGGCTGTTTACATTTCTGACAGTTTCCCCACTCGTGTGCGCGCCGCAAAGGATTGGGGGGAGGGGAAGGATGTCTAAGGATTCCATCCTGCTCCTATAAGGGTCTCATCCGGCTGTTCAGGAACGGCCAATGGACAGGAGGTGGTTCATTTTTTAAATGTTTATTTTACACTTAACTTTATTGCTATTACATAGGGGGGCTAACAACCCCCTATGTAATACCAATTAGGACATGACAGGTCCTCTTTATGGAGATATTAGGGGTCTTTCAGGCCCCTTATGTCACCTAGGGACCCCAGTGAAGCAGCATTAGAATGTTCGGGTCTCACTTGAAGAAAAGGTGGCAACCCTATTACAACCCCATCAGGTTTTTATTGGTGGGGGTTGTGGGAGAAGCACTAGATTTGTCAGTAATCATTTTCTTTGATGTGTCAAATGTTCTTGGAGGCGCTGCTTTCACACAAATCTAGGGACACCCGATCTGGATAGGGGGTCTCAAGTAGAACCAGATATAGAACAAAAGGGAGGGAATCCCTCATGTTCCTTCTGCTAAACCTCTAATCATCCACAACTGCTAATTATTGTTATGTGCCATCTCCTTCTCTTAATCCAAAACATGTGAAAGGAACTAAAACACAATGTAACTCATAAGCCCTGATGGTGGGGGATATTGTGGACCCCCGAAGTGCATTGGCTGGTTTGCTCTATTGATCTTCATAAATAAAATAATGGATGGATGAATGGACAGCACTATCTTTGGGAGGTGTTGCAATGTATTCCCTTGAAGGAGAAGCAGGGGAATGGTACTTTTAGTCTTTGGAGCTACCAGTGCATGTTGGCGCATCAGCATGCCATGGAGCACACAGCCAAGGTTGGCTACCATAGGGCTCCAGAATAGACAATGTCATCCACATGAAATGGGTTAAGCTCACCATACAGCTCAATTTCCCCATCTACACTAATAGCATAGATGGAGCAATCCCTGCTGGAACGTAGCTGCTTGAATACCTGAACAGTCACGGCAACCAATTAGCCGCCCGGTTCCTTTGAGGGCCAACAGGGCCACCCACAGCTTGAATTTCACCAATTCACAAGAATCAGCCAACATGTTAGCAGTGCATTGCCAGCCTAAAGTGAGCCATACACTCAAATATTCTATTTTAATTAAAAATTTAACAGAAAAAAATACAATAGATTCCTCCATCAACATTTACAAGCATTGATCGAGGAATCCCCGCTGTTTCCTGTGTATTCTGACGGAATACCCAAACTGAGGTGACAGCTCATTGGCTGCCGTCTCTGTTTGTTCTAAGATTTTCAGACTGGCTCCTTCGATCAGCTGAGCCAGGGATGCCGGCCGAAAGGGTGCCAACAGCAGCACCCACTGTGCATCATTTACATAATGTATCGCCAGCTTTAGTGTCATGTCTGGTGCTATTTACATCTTGTCATCACCACTCTACTTCATAACGTACATTTGGAGTTGAAGTTGAAATATAACTTGAGTTGAAGATAAATCTAATGGCTGAAAGAACCGCTGGAAGCAACTTACATTTTCATGCTGGTGGGTGTTCTCCGACTCATGGAGCTGTAGCAGTTGTTGCAGTATGTCTCTGTGTAACCACTCTCTGTGCTGCGGATATACACCATCCAATTTGCCATCTGGCACTGTGGGTTTGCTGTGATCTGACTCAGTCTTTGTAGCATGTTGCGTAGTTGTTATATTTGTGCTGGTGTTCCTTCTGTCCTCCCACAGAAAAAAAGTGAAAACGCATACAACACTTAGTCATGACAACAAACAACGTTCAGTTAAAATTAGAAACAGTAGAAATGGGGACGAGATATTCATTAATAATAATAATAATTATAAAAGGGCTAGCAATAATCTGTGTCTCCCATGTCAAATGCAGTAGAAAGTTATCATGGCACACTCACAAGCCAGCATGTAAAACAACTTGTCTCACCCAGTATGACTTGCTCCCCAGTCAAATGTACACAGCCTCCTTCACTGTTAGTTTACCAGGAAGTGTAATAAAGGCTATACTGTGTTTGCACAATTCTTTTAGACAATTTGTTAAGTCAATTCCCCAAAACAAGGCAAAAGATGTACAACAAAGGGTTTATTTGTAAACAATTTGCAGGGCCAATTATCTTGTGAATCTCTGTGAATCTTCATTCTGTGCGAATAGAGGCGAAAACACACATTCTTAATACATTTTCTTTTCAGGTCAAATATAATGTAATACTGCAAGATGGCCACTACATGGAGCTGAGCAGCATAGGATACAAGTACTTATTTCCTATGCTCCACAGCTCCATCTAGTGGTCATCATGTGGTATAACAGTACATTACATTAGACCTGAAAAGAAACTACACTAAGGGGGATATTCATAAAAGGGTGAAGAGTTTGGAGAAGGCAGGAGAAGTGAACAATCTAGGACAACATAGCTGATTTGGAAAAATCCTCCAATTCAGCTCACATTCCAGTTCAACTATGTTGGCCTAGATTGTTCACTTCTCCTGCCTTCTCCAAACTCTTCACCCTTTTGTGAATAACCCTGTAAGAATATATGTTTTTGCTTCTGTTTGCACAGACAATGTTTGCAGAAATTTGCAGGATAAATGGCTCTGCGAATGGCTTAAAAAATAGAACCCATAGTTTTCGCTATTAACTACAGTTTATTCAAATCTATTACTAATCCAATTATTAAAGCAGATGTAAACTGAATTACATTTTGTTTGCTGAAACACGATGTATCATGAATGCCATTTTTGTTTTCACAAATTACTTGTTTTTATCTTTTTAATTCTTTGTGGCATCTCAGTGCTGCTAATCTTCAGCAGCCTCTTTGTGACCACTTCCTGTCCACATACACTTCCATGATGGCTGCATGGCATTTCTCAGGGTGGGTCTGCTGATGGTGAAAATAGTGGACCACGTCTGTGTGATGTGTGTTGAAATGGCCACTTGTAGTCTCCATCAGAAGCCCATGTCATCCCATCAGAAGGGTGATGACACAGCATTGCAAGTATCAAACTACACAAAATGCCTGTACAAGGATCTTCAATGGACATTTTGGAGAGGATTGCATCATGTGCACATATACATGGTTTTGCAGAAAACACAGTGATCTTTTTGGTATTATACAATATACATTCACTGAAAACAGTGGCTGGCTACAGAATATATCAAATGTTGACACACATGTATAATTTTTATTTTAAACCGGACTATGGCAATGTACAATGCAATAAATGTTATATGCTGCTGAGTTTTGCCTGTACTGGGGTTGTTGCTGCACCTAGACTTCAGGAATTCCGACAGACCCCAATAAAACAGGATCTGGGACCCTCTGCAGGATCTATCTATCTATCTATCTATCTATCTATCTATCTATCTATCTATCTATCTATCTTTCTTAGGTGGTTACCCATGACCTTTCCTGCTTTGTTAGCTTTGTCAGCCACAATCTTTCCACAAACATGTCAGACACTAAAGAGATACAGTATGTACACCAAGTACCTATTAGCAATACAGGATAGGTACAAACAAAACAAATAGAAATATTCACCTCTTGGTATTATCATCCTCTGTTCCCTTTTTTACCCCAGGAGTGGAAAAGACTGATAAATGTTCCAAGCTGGAGTGGGCATGTTTGTGTCTATTTTCCTGGACATCCAGGATATCCAGATGGGAGACGTGATCATGTCCCAGTTCTGCATGATATATCTCCACAACCTGCAGACCAATAGTAAATCCAGACATTTCTTGTTTATCATTGTGCTTGTAGTAAAACGTTTCAGTCAATGAAAATGCTATACAGCCCATACAAATTAGTTCAAGCCAACCACCATTCCATCCACCTTCCTCTTGAATGGCACTGTCCAGAGAAGCTCAGACGTTAGAGTAGATTTAAAGAGGTAGAGAGGCAGGGCCACCCATAGTCAGAATTTCTGTCAGTTCAAAGGACTTGGAGGAAATTCTAACATTGTATTCCCATCTTTACCCTATTAATTGATTTGGACTTATTTTTAGTATGAATTATACAATAATTTGAAAAATTGATGGCATTTTGTAACCACTAATAAGAATTATAAAATTTAACACAGTAAATGAGTAAAAAGTTAAATTACATTTTATAAAATTTCTCCTAAGGGAATCACTATATAATCACCATAGTAAAAAGAACATGATCTGGTTTATGTAAAAGAGTTTTTTTTTTATAACATCCATTGATAAACATCTAAAAGCTTTGTAATTTTTAATCAAGGACAATAACAAGTCCTTAAGGCCTCATTTACACGGGCAGCCGGTCTGAAAAACAATCCACAGTGGCTGCCCAGCGTTTAGGAGGCAATATTTGCACCTCTTGAAGGAATATTTTTGGGATTCTAAGGGGGATTTGTTCATGGAATTACCATGCTGTAACCATGTTCCACGTGCTTGGTTGCAGCACAGTCCTGTGCACTGCCTGCCAAATGCAACATGCTATATATTTTTCCCGCACCAGGAAACAATGCATTGTGGCCACGGCAATGTATACAGCACTGTCCAGCTTAAATGCTAGCATTGCAGGGGACTGTGGAACAGTAAAACTGCAGTTCAACAACTTGATTTTATCACCCCAGCTGCCTGTGTAAACAAGGCTTTATTCTCTTAGGGCTAATTCACACCAGCTCCAGTGCGTTCCGGTCCGATTGGTGCCGCATTATGGTTGGCTCACTTTGTTTTGGAGCGGGAGGGTGCATGGCGGTGCATTGAAGTCAATGGCACCACAGCAACGCCCTCTGGCCGCAGTGTGATCGCCCGCACTGGAACACGTGGCACATCAGTGCCTGCGTTCCGGTCCGAAAAAAATAGTGCTTGCAGCATTTTTTCTGACTGCACTCGACCTGAAGGCAGGCATTGATGTGCCACGTTTTTCCGGAACGGGCGATTGCACTGCGGCCAGAGGGCGTCCCTGCGGTGCCAGTGACTTCAATGCACAGCCACGCCCCCTCCCGCCCCAAAACAAAGTGAACCGGTCGCAATGCAATCCAGTGCATTTCGCCACCAATTGGGCCGGAACGCACTGGGGCTGGTGGGAACTAGCCCTTAAAGCCCATTTCCACCTTTGCAGAGGTATTTTTTTTTAAACATATGCCAGCAATGTACACTGAGTGTACATGAAACAGACATATGTAGTTGATGTCTATGAAAACAGAAACTTGCATTTTTTGTCAGCTTTCCTCCTGATATCCTCATAAATGATATCCCTAAAAATATCCCCCACCAGCCCCCCCCCCCCCCCTTCTGGACAGTGTATTGTGTGTAAAGCCAGAGCTGGTGTTTACTGATCATGTTACAATGGGTGACAAAGAGGGGGAGCCTAATTACCAACTGACCCTGGTGTCTGACTGAATTTCCAGTGGAGAACATTTTGAATTTTTAGGCTTCAGGTCTAATAAATCCTTGATAAAAAAAATTAAGAAAGCCTGCAATGTGAATCATGAGCCCATGTATACATCCTGCAATGTGAATCATAAGCACATGTATACATCATCACTGCACCCACAATCAATTCTAATCACTTACAAGAATTACTATAGTCCACAAGTCCACCTTTTGGACATGGATTTCGTTGTGGCTCACAGTCTGTAAATATATATGGATACTTACTTTTCTATCACTATGGGCAATATCTGTTGCATATGCAAAGCTATTGGACTGTTTCCCGAGTCTGTCACCAAAAGCTGTGTGTCATCTTTTTTGCATCGCAGTAAACGAGTGCACAAGTTTGCATCTATGCTTTAGAATTGACTAAGGCCGGCTTCTGTCAAGCAACCTGACCAGATTTGAGTGCACAGAGTCAGTTACTACAGCAAAGTTTTATTTTCATCACTATGTGCAATGCCATTGAATGTGCCAATTTGCAAGAGTTCATTATATCAGGCTTTATATTGCTCTGTGATCAGAAAAATTCCCATCTTGCCATCTCCGCTGGCATTAGAGTGGTTTCTATTCTATTCTATTTTATGACAAATCAGCACTTTGTGGATTACAAATCAATGCCACCATGTTGTGGATTACAAATTACCGTAACATCTATGCATATGCATAGTTGGCATAATGTTTTTAGGCAACAAGTACTGTGTCATATTTCCAATATTATCTGATCGTTCAAAACAGATTTTTTTCTTGGCTATAGGCTTGCATTCATGTGTGCTTTCTTCATCAAACTTTCTGAATGCCACATTATAGATCCATATTAACATCTTGCATATATTATACTTTGTAAGCGGTTTTATTATTACATTGTCTGAAGTTTGTACTTCTGACTCCCCATTTGGCAAATGCATTTATTTATTTACCTATGCAGCACTGGGGGTCCCTGGTTCAAATCCCAGTCAGGACACCATCTGTAAGGAGTTTGCATGTCCTCCCTGTGCTTGCGTGGGTTTCCTCCGGGTACTCCGGTTTCCACCCAAACTCCAAAGACATGCTGGAAGGTTAATTGGCTAATGTCTAAATTGGCCCTGTATGTATGTATGCGAGATAGGGACCTTGTGACTGATGTGAATGTGCAGTATGCAAAGCGCTGTGTAAATTGCCAGCACTATATAAATACCTGTAATAAATAAAATAATGTATTAAATATACTGTATGTGAACCTAATAAAAAGCTTGTTTTCTAATGGATCACATTCTCTCGAATTTCATCAATAAAAGATTCCTTTCTATTGATATTTTTGAGAAAAGGGGTTTTGTAAACTTTACTTCTTAAATAATTTAATACCATATGAGTTTGAGGGGAATATTTAATAGATTTTCTTATATTTAAATTGTGTCATTCACCTGTACTTTACCGAGGCCAAGATTTTTCAGTAAAAGTGTGAGCCCCTGGTAAGTCAATGTGTTATTTTCACCATACAAGTGAAACAGCTGCTGGAGGTAGTACCCTTGTTCCTTCTCTGCCTCCTCCAGCAAGGTGACATTATCCTCAGCTGTCCTGACCAACAGGTCTTGTTTAGGGGGCTCTTGTCTGCTTGATGTGACATTCTGTAAGTGTGGTTTTTCCTGACATGCAGAGAATGAGCAGAATATCCAGAGGCTGGAAACAAGCACAAGCAAGACCCTATGGAACAGCATCTGAGAAAAAAGAAAAAGAAATTTAACAAAAATACAAAAGGGGGTTAACAATGGTTTTGTACATAGTTTATTTATTTTTTATTATTAGAATTGTGTTTACTAGGATTGGTGGAGGAGATAGCTCCCACTAATGTTGAGCGTTCATTTTCTTGGATTACTTTTTTGTATGCTCGTAAAGCTATAGCCATGTATTGGAAGAAATCTACTCCTCCCACTATTTCATTCTGGAAAAAATTAGTAAATGACAATTTGACTCTTTCAAGACACATATTATCATAGAAATACATTTTTATTTGATATAGGTAGCGAATGTTGAGAGTCATGTGAAGGCTGACATTGTGACCCCTCCATCTGAAAACACTAGTTGCCTGGTGGTCATGCTGATCTAATGGTGCTAATACTATAATGAGGCCTTAAGGATTTGTTATTGTCCTTGATTGATTTCACTTGCTATTTATTTGCTTCAGGTCAGTGATTCAGACAATCCTGAAATCAAACACAGCCAAGCAACTACCATACTCAGACAAAGGTCTGAAGTTCGCTCATTAAAGGATTATAAAGATTATAACGTTATCTAAAACATTCACTTATCAATGCGTACACTTTTTAAGTTTGTAAATGTTAAAAAAGACAATTAAAATCAAACTGACGGAAAACCATAATAAAAGAGAACACGTAAATCATTTCTATAATTGTCTGTTCCAAGAAGCAATATAAGGACGTGGCTGATAAAAATAGGAATCCATTTTATTACAGCAGATATCTTATTTAAGTCACGGCTACAATGGACAAATATTACATATTAATGCATACTGATAAGTATCAGATGGGATCAACTATGGCTTGCTGTATGACCAGCTCCAGACCCCAGATAGAATACAACAGACTACAGTATGATACATCACTATAATTCAAGTATACAGTACTGTAAAAGAAGGGGAGTTATGTGAAATAACAAAGCTACAGTGGCAATTATTCTGAGATTTTTTTCCTGTATACTGGCAACAAATTTACAGACATTTCATGATGTATTATTTTATTTTGAATAAAAATGCATTCTTGTTAAGAATTCTTAGGAATTATAACAAAGTGCATGTAATGGATCCAGCAATAATGAATGAAGCATGTCTTTGCTTTGTTACAGTTAAACATACCAACATAATAAAGGAGAACTATGGGGTGAGTGAATTAAACTCCACATAGTTAGAGCCGATGTGTGACATTGAAACTGTCACACGTCGGCTCTATTGTTCGGGAAGTGAGCGAAAACATACCGTCGCTGGCTCACTTCCCGATCACCTCCCTGCAGAGAGCGGTGACTATCCCCACAAGCTTACGGGGGAGGGAGCAGGCATAGCTGGCTCTGCCTCTAGATAGGCAGAACCTGCTGTCAATCAGCCAGCGGTTTGGATCTCGACAGTATTGTCAGGATCTGTCCCAGCTGCGGCGCTTTCAGCATATAGGGGGCAATATATTGAGTTTTGGGTCACAGGAGGACACAATATATGTCCTCCCGTGACCCTAAAGAGAACTTAGGTTTAGGTAAATCATAGATTTGATCGACTAGCATTCAGCCACCAAAGCATGCTGCACAAGCCAGGAGCTGGCAACTCCTGCGTGAATCTATATGAGCTTATTGGACATGCCATTCCAAATCCATGTGCATTTATATGGCCTATGTTAAGTGTATGAGTAGGCCTACGTTTTGTGGCCATTCAGTCAAAAGAGTATTTGTGAGCAGGGCCGGATTTACTCTCTGCTGCCCCAAGGCCAGGTTCCTCAATGCGCCCCCCCTCCGCCAAAAACTCCCCCCATGGAGAATGGCAATCGGATGGCAGGGGTGGCAGGGTTGGTTTTAATTTTTAAAATTTGTATTTATCTTATCTTTTACTTTTTTTTAATAATGTTTTTATCTTATTTTTTTAATTTTTTTTAGTTATAATTTTTTATCTTATTATTTTGTACTTATTTCATACTTTTTAAATTATTTTTTACTTTTTAATCACCTTTTTAATTTTCTATTTCAATTAATATTTCCTATTATTTTTTACCTTTTTATTTATTTCATTTTTTTTCAAGTTTAGCTTGATTTACCTCCACATATGAAACATCTTTTTTTCAGTAAGAGCTTTGAAAATGTGGAATATATTTTTATAGTTATAGCTAGTTCTAACTAACTCTGTAGGTTGTCTAAAAAAAAAATCTGGATGTGTTTCTAGATGCACAAAACATAACTGGCTATTAATTTCCATAAGTGATACTACTATAAAATGGTTGATCCTGTGAATATCCTGTTAATAGGGGATCAGGAAGTTTTTCCTCCTGGGAGCAAATTAGATCATTGAGTGTTTTGTATTCCTCTGGATCAGCTGTGGTTCAGACTTCTGAGGATGGAAGTTTTGAATGTATGTAATTTGTTTTTTGGTTGAACTCAATAGATATGCGTCTTTTTCTCAAGCTGTGTAGGTATATAGCTATTGTGGTGCAATGGATGTGTATTACAGTAAGATATTCAGCCAATATCTTCCTTTTTTTAGCTTTGAATAAAGTGGGCAAGAGTTTGAACCTGTTCTATATTTTTATTAGTCATTAGGGAGCAATTTCTCCACTTATTTTATTTTTTTTAGAGATCTGGGAAGGTTTAGAACCTTTGTTAATTTCTTGTTGTGTTTGCATTCCCATTAGCAAGACTCCTCACTTCCTATCTCAGTGACACTTAGACACGTATGCCCAGGAAAGGAGGTGAGTTAAAATCTCCCAAACAACATTACAAAAAGTTAACAGATGTGCTAACTCTTCCACACATTAAATATAAACATAGGAACTACAGAAATACATGATTACATGAAAATCTACATGAAGAACATAACATCACTTAAATTACACTACCTTAGAACAGGCAGTACAAAACCAAACTTCTAAAATCACAAGTGGCTAAAAAACACACACAAAGACAACAAAACAATATAACAACATACCAGGATTCTATCTATGCAGGATATGCACTATTGAAATAACTATAGTATGATACATACCAGTTGTGCCTGCAATTTTGGTGGATTCAGTAAGGATTTAGCTGCCTTTAGATGCTCCTTCCTTACCCACAAGCAAGCTGTCACATATCCCACCCTCATTCACATTAAAGCTGTGCTGGCCAATGCTGTTTGCTTTTCCACCCCTACATTTGGCCATTGGAATACAGATTTAGCCTTGGATGGGGGAAGGGTGCGGAAACCTAGCTCTGACTTCCATAGACAAGTTAATGTTTAATATACTCATCAAAACATATTCTAGTTTTAGACTGTGCCTTTGCCAGTTTTTCTCCGAAATGAGTAGATTATATTTTTGTAGAAAGAAATTTTGGAGAGGCTAAATAGCATTTTACATAAGAAAGATCACAGACTGATGGTGACTGCTCTGCCTGCACTCCGTACAGCTGACAGAGGCTTGTTGGCTAGGAGCCTCGTCTTGTGTGGCTTCATACACCTTCTGCGCAGTGTCATGATGTGGTTGTCAGGCATTAGGAGGGTGGCAAGCACCCCATTCTGATGCCTATGTTTACTGATTAAAAGCAAACCTGTGCCATTGCTGACCTCCTTATGAAAATGCTAACTTCCACAGTCAAGTTGATCCTTTAACTTCAGGACTTACTGAGTTATTGATTTTCCACAAACATGTAGGAAAAGAACTACTGACAAGCATGCTTATTCCAGGTCATTGACTCAAAGTATTGAAATCATGAATTAGATTGACTATTAAGGAACTAGCATTGCTATGCAGTGACCAGCAATGGCAGCCTCCATACTTCTCTCTGACATGATTCCTTTAAAGCACTTACACCTACATTCAGAGTTGTGAAAAGATACATATCCATACAGTAAAGACTAGCCGCAGACCTATACTTACCATTGTGTATAGCAGTGATCAACCACTCGAAATTCTCTCCTGCTGCATAGGCATGGTATACAGTCCACTACAGGCGCATAAAATGATAATCACGCCAAGATTTACTTGTCACTTCCTCTCATAGAGGTAAAATAAAACTGGACAAATTCCAAAAGGTCAAGTTTCATCTACCAGGAAGTGATAATGTGTGACACTGCTGCCACTCACTGGGAGAACTAGCTGTATCCAGCAGTGTCAGGTTTTACAGATTACACACATACCTGGTTAAGAAGCAGTATCAGGTTTTAGAGATGACATGCACAGGTGGTTAGTAAGAACCAGATCTTAGTCTCCATTCACACCTAGGTGTTCTGTAAACGAGTGCTTTGATGCGCGTTCACGGAACGCGTCAAAAACACGCCAGGAAAACACGGGACGCCTGTAGCAGAATTTGCTACATGAGCTACTTTCCAGCATATGTTGCGTGTACGACACCCCATTTAAATCAACGGGGATGCAACACTGGAAAATAGCATGTGCGATTGCGCACGAATGCAACATGCTTAGGTGTGAACGTGGACTTAGAGATTACATGCACAGGTGGTTAGGGAGCAGTATCAGGTCTTGGGCTGATGTCACACAGGCGATTCTGCTGCTGATGGTACATTTTTGTAATCCTTTTAAAGCCATGAAATTCAATGAATGAAATGTAATTACATGAAATGTCTCTCTATATTGAGTTGCAACTGAAAGCTAAAATTAGGCTTCCAGTAAAGTTGCATTTCAGGTAATCTGCTGTGTAGGAGGTAATTACCCCCTTATGTGATGTAGCACTGCAGCAGTGGAGGGAGGAAAGAGTACCTTATGGATTTTTTGGAAAATAACACAGTTCTTAGGGTTTATGAACATCGTAGTGGTAAAAAAACCTGATGTTGTCAAAGTATTGTGGTGACAAATCCTAGGAGGGTGCCTACCACTGCATTGCATGTAATGTGCATCCAAACTGCTACAGGCAGATGTTTGGGAGCTTTAGGAATACACAGTCAAAGTGCACTACATATGAACACATATTTTGCGTCGCAGTTTGGGCACTCGGGTTCAAAAAGGTTCGCCATCACTGATCTAGGACAACATAGATGATTTGGAAAAATTCTCAAATTCAGCTCACTTTCCAGTCCAGATATGCGGTCCTAGATTGTTCACGTCTCCAAACTCTTCACCCTTTTGTGAATAGACCTGTTAAATTTTAACTGAACCATGAAGTAAAATAATCCAAAACGTATGTGTGGTTATTATGGGTATGACTCTACTAAACCGCTTGCAAACAAGCCATTATATGTGTGCTTCAAATGTGTTTGAATGTTTTTGGGCAAGAATTGAACTAAAAAAAATCTTAACATTCAGTCACTTCAAGCATTCACTACTAGCCTGACTTACTTTTGGGGCCCTTTTCAGGTAAGAATCTAGAAAACATTTTTGTACTGCCAATATGTTCTCTTGTGGCACTTGACTGAGCAGTAGTATTCAGCTCAAAGCCAAGTAGAAGGATGGTTTTGGCCAAGGGTGGTACTAAAGCCATAGTAGACCATGCAACTGCTATGAGGCACAGAAGCACAAGGGGTGTGGGGCTGTTTGGATACGCAGTGATATGCACACGTAGCAACAGAATTTGACAAATACATGTGGATGAAATAAATGCATATAAAGTTTGGGAACTTCCATACAACTGCTATAAAACAATTGGTACTCTGATATTACTAGAGCAGTTGGCTTTGAAATGAGAGAAACAGGAAGTCCCTGTATAGTTTTTCTATGGGGCCCTATCACACATAGTTATGGCACTGGCATTTCTCCCTTTTTTTAATTGTTAAAACATGAACTACTATCAGTAAATCATCACCTCTGCCCCTGTCTTGACTGAGGATGGTAGTCTAAACTGTCCTGATGTGTGTCCTCATCAATGGCATCAATAAAGTTGCTTTATATCTTGCAAATATTAAACAATTCTGTGTAACACATAATTGCAAAAACATGCATTTTTCTTTAACTCATCATAGTACTTTCTGAAATAATTCCATAGTGAGAAATAGAAAACCCAATAACACATAGTGGAAATAAAAAATGAGTCTTGCCCTGATCCACTTTTTGACTGTTATTGTCCTTCACGCTCCTTTAGGGTCTTTGTGTGGTCTGTCCCAAGGTGGATAATACAGATACAACGCTAGTTCAATCCACTTACATATTCAATTACGGTGCATCCCAAAAATGTTTTTATTTTTTTTTATTACTTAAATACTAGGGATGCACAGATACTTTTTGAGTACCAGTGCAGATACTTGGGATTTTCATGAGAACTACCAGGGTTGCAGAGGTTTCAGCTGGGACCTGGCTCTGGCCCTCCACCACTGTCCTGAAATCATTAGTCTGTATTGTTTTAGAAAAACTGTCACATGACAATAAACAAACATGTATCAGTACTCGTATTTGTAAGTACTCGGCAAGTACCAGTACTCGTATTCGCAAAACTGGTATCTGTGCATCACTTTATTTATATTTATAAAACCAAAACCGTACATTAAAACAGAGATGTACAAATCCCAGGAGCTCCGTGTGCTCCTTACAAATGACAGCTGCCTCCTAATTTTTTAATTTGTCTCTAGTGTAGTCTTGGAGCTCAAAAGTATCGGTACATGTACTCGTACTTGTACCAAGTACTGTACTTGGTATCTGTGCAACCCTACTAAATACGTCCACAAGATGAACAACTAAACGATCTCCCTTCATAAAAAATGCAGTGGCGGCCGTCGTTGAACAGATGATGCTTTGGGTCCCATTACGGAATTATTGTGAAGGAATCCACATCTATAAGTTACCTTGTTGTCCTTTTTAGCAGTCTATAAATGCATCTGAACAAGCAAGGCAAAATTCAGCTTCTCTCAACGCCAAAAAACAGGAAGTACTAAAAATGAATTGCAATGCATTCTGTAGACATAGCCTATTGGCCATGGGAACAGAACCTGTTGTTCAGAACGGAACCTATTGTTGGTAATTATTTTGTGGTTTTCTTGTGTTTTATGTATTTAGCCTTGTACACTGCTACATAATTCACGGAAACATGAGCATTGTCAATGGGCCCTCACTGTATAGTATATGCCTCCTTTGTCCTGCTCGCATCTCCTCCACGTTGTGTGTCACTTGTGCTCTTCTCATTAGCATGCCACATATGTCAACTAGGTTTTGTGGATCAGGTGTCCCCAAAATATACAGCATACCCTAAGATGTGAAGACATTGGGTGATACTGTATATGGTGAGCTGCAACATGTGTAAATCTTTTAAGCCATCACCTCTTTCATTAATATCTAGAGCCATTATTAAGGCACAGCACATGTTAGTAAGTTCCGTAGACTTATGTTGGGGATACGGGTCGGTGCCACAGATATCCCCTCAAAGAGTGCACTCACCGTTAGGTAGTGGCTGTGGTAAGCAGCCGGAAGCGCTTAGATACAGGTTTCTGCAGCCGCAGCATCCATCCACTATCTCGCTCGGTCTGTGGTTGGTGGGTGATGTATCTCCACGTTCATAGAAGAAAAAAGCCTTTAGTTTTTTTCAACAAGGGGGCTTTATTTAAAATTGTAAAAACCAAAAAACAGCGAACATTCGGCAGAGGAAAAAACAGCAAGCGGAGTCTTGTATTCGGTATAGCATGTAAATAGGCCCGCCCCTACGCGTTTCGTCGTCTTGACGGCAGATGTTATGTGTCCTCTACTTCTACTTTAGGATGTTATGTACACAGGAGAAAAATAATTTTGCTTGTATGATGGAATACTGTTGTGTCAGAATGATGAAAAAAATTGTCATATACATAGGGGCTGATTGAATGCCATTTACACGGAAATACCACCACCAGATGGTGCTGAGGACTATAGGAATTCCTTATGCTCATTGGCTCCATCTAGTAGCAGTAGTGCCATGAGAATAGCATTTTCCCAGTCCGATAGTATATGAGAGTGTTAGCAATGTACTGCATTTATCTGTTGTTGTAGTACAAAATGGTAAGTGTTTATTGGCTTTATGCAGTAAATGAAGGTCCCTAATTTGAAAGCATCCTACTTTTTAATGAATGACTACAATTATGCTAAAGTGAATATGATATAGCGAATTCATATAACAGCGTCAGTCCACAATGACAGAGATGGATTATAGGAAATATACTACATTTATTCATTTGCATTAACCATTACATTCTGCAACTAAAAAACAAGCGCATGATTATTTAAAACAGGGCAGATCTTTGACAGAAATGCAATTATGTGACAATAGCAGGTGCTGTGTGAATTGAGGTAACACAGTGTAATTCTGAACAGGTGATTGCAAGGTCACTGATAATCTTACCAAATGTTGTTCCAGAGATCTCTAATCATCGACACGTTTTAATATTTATTTCAGGCAAATCTGACAATGCTACACACAGAAAGAAAGCTTTATTATCCTGTTTTTATTTATCATAATATTTCAAAATGAATGTGATGAAGGCTTTAAGGCAAGTGACCCTATCATGGTATCAAATAATTTCCCTTATTAACAAGGGGAGAAGCAGCATATAAAATGGCAGCTAGTTTTCCAATGGTGGGGAGAGTGGCAGGGAGGCCATGCATTGGTCTTTCACTAACAATGGTGGGCTGTAGGATATCTTGCTACCTGTACTGATACTGTTACTGACAGCGTTTTAATATTAGTATTAATATTAATTTATTGGTTTAACATGAATTCATTTTATATATAGATTGCTAGTATTATATTCTATTTATTTACATGTTAGTTAATATACAGCATGTATGTAATATGGGGGACCGTGTATGTATTTTACATATGCATAAGGTATATAGTAATGTGTGAGGCATAAAACAAAATAGATGTAAGAACCATGTTACTGAGTACCACAATAAGCAAAGGAGCCTATAAGTGCACACAAAGGGTTATTCCCCCGGCAATGGAGATTGAAGCCGGGAGTTTACCATGGCAATCTTAAGCCACAGTAGTACATATAAAGGTAATTCTGAA